CGATGAGTCCGAGCTGGGACCGTGCCTTTTATCACATCCAAGCAAAGACTGCGCAGTCATCTTCAGATCCGGAGTAGCAAATAGTTTACTAACATACTGCTGCAAGCTATGCATGGTGCCGGTCCACTTGCTATGCTTGAGCTTGTCAAGCTTAAGTCTAGCTTTAGCTGCAGCATGTGGATCAACATACTATTTAATCAAGAGTTCTTCGAGTGTGGCTACAGGCGTAGCCTTCAGCCATTTGTTCAGGTCTATTCTTTTATAGCCTGCTTGTACGGCGGGTTCCACATTGGTCCCTACGACCGACGACTGAGTAACTGGGAGTGTCCCCATCACATCGAAGTAAGATCGAATGGAGCTGATCCAAGATTCGATGTGGTCCTTTCCGTCATACTTAGACGGAATCTACGCCACCTTTCTATCCATGTAAGGAAAGTTGCAGATTGGACCAGCGGCTGCTGGGTCCGAACTCGGGACTGCAACAGTTCCAAAATGCCCTTCACTGCCACTTGCCGCGGCATCAGCAGCAGCAGCAACAGCAAGGTATGGACCTGCTGCAGATCCGGATAGGTTGTTAGTCACACTCAAAGAAGAAGAAGAAGAAGTAGAAGAAGACACATTTAGAGGGGCAAGAACGGACTGACACGCAACACTAGAAGCAGGGTAAGCAGGCGGAAGGACACTTTGGGCAGGCTGCAAGTTAGCAAACTGTTGCAGCTGGTCACGGTGCTGCTGCGCCATCAGGGTAACTTCTTGAGTTCGTCGAACACCTTTGCAAGCTGGTCTGTATGGTCCTCAGCAGCCCGGACGTCTATCAAAGCTCGGAGAAGTGAAACGGTTTTCTCTTCCACCTCCTCGTTAGTTAATGCGGGCACAGTACTGAAGACAGCTTTGTGAGCCTTCACCTTTTCTTCCCTTTCCTTCTCCTTCTCTTCCTCTTCCCTCTTCAATGCTTTCTCATAGAAGAATCGGTACTGCGCTTTTTCTGCCTCAGGGGCGGCGTCCATTTGCAGCTTCCATTCTGCTGCAGATGCCTTAGTGGAGGACGAGGGTGTTAGCAAATCTCTCAAGAGGGGTCCGTACTTCCTCACACTTCTGGGACGAACACTCCTCTTCCCTCTCCTCACTCCCTCAAGAGCAACTCTCAGAAGCTTTTTTCTTCTCTCTCTCTCTCTCTCTCTCTCTCTCTCTCTCTCTCTCTCTCTCTCTCTCTCTCTCTCTCTCTCTCTCTCTTGTTTGCGATCGTGTAGATGCAGGCATTTAATGAACCAAGTCAAAGAAACAACTTTGAAAACAAAAGGAAGAGAAGGTAGAACTCTTAGCCGGAGCGGCAATTCATTTGGACTGGAGAGCAGTCAAAACAAAAGATCAGAGAGATCTGATCCAGCCACACAGTCTGGACCGACTACGTATGAGGTCCTCTCAAGCCTAGCCGGACTCAACTCCGTGAAGACACAGCAAATCAGATTCAAGGTGTACAGCGTAATGCAAGAGAGAATTGAGTGGTGTCCAAGGTGCGAGTCAGGCGGCCGATCGTGCGGTGAAGTCTGATAAAACGTCTCAGTGAAGATCCCCTCCGCAGCGAGTGTCCTGGTCCAAAAGCATAAAGTCTGAGTCCCAATCACATAGAGCAAGGTAACTGACGTCAACAGATTTGGCCTGAGGGGCCGTTTTTGTTTGCGCCTGGTCCCGCTGAGTCCCACATGGTCCCAGTGGAGTCAGAACCGGGTCCCAACCAACAAGAGTACCACAAAGTCCTACTCTGTCCCTACCGAATTGAAAAACGAAAATTTGCCCCAGAAAAAACCTACAGACTACAACCGTTCAGAATGAAATGAACAAAGCACTGTAGAGAGATATAGCATGGCAAGCAAGATACTCCATTCATTCACTCGTCACGTGAGTAAGCAGTTCACACAGCTCACACACAATCAAGACTATGGAGGATGGAAGAAGAACCCAAAAAACCCCAACAGGCAGTCAATTCCATGCACACACACATGGGCACCCTGGCCTCACGGCACTTACCTGAGTGGCCGGGCTCTTGAGATAAAAAGAATTCACCCCCCCCCTCACATAGTCCTCCAGACCCAATTAGCATCCTCTACACTAGTGTCCTGTCGTCTAGGAGGGTCAATATCTACCCCAAAGTACAAAGCCGGATCCCCCGTCGATGTTGAAGATCAAAGCAGCAACTTGCAGTCCGTAGGTGCAGATATGGCTGCCACCCTCAAGCTCGCCTAACTTGAGGGGAGCCCTAAAGTCACTCCTCGTCTTCCTTGAAGTCCAGATTCAAGTTGCATGACGAAGTCCCACCTTGTGTCTCGCATCCACAAACATGCACTCAAGCAACCTGGCCGGGTCTAGTGTCGACCCTACACGGCCCTGCCAGGTGGGAGCAACTTCCCTTCACCACGCTGCCCCGCTTAACCCTAGCTTCCAGCCTAACCCTAAGTGGTTAGCCCTTACCACTAGGGTTAGGGTTATGGCAGCAAAGTGAACTCTCGCCAGCAAGTAGAATCCGCTCTGATACCAATGTTACGATCCTGGCCAATTTCAAAGTATACAAACATCTGAAAGTACAGTGCCATCCACTTGCAAAAAGAAATGAATGAACTTGAGAGGAGAAA